TTTCGAGATGCCGTGTTTCTTCTTCGTTAAATGATATTGAAGCACCTTGAAAATCAATTTCTTCACTCAAGCTTGCTTTAAGTAAGACATTTCGTCTATGTTTTTTGATGGAACTTATTGAATTTCCGCAAAATCTGGAACCTCCTAGAATCACATTGATCCTTCCCTTCGAACTTCTCGGTTCTTCCTCGTTGGATAACCTTGGTCTTTTGGAATCTTGATCTTTGGAGTTTTCCTTTGCTTCGTGGTATTCCTTCACAAAATCTTTTATATCGAATTTAGAAAGATCACCACTAGCCCAAAGCTCTGCGAGGTGCTTTTTAAGAACGCTGCAATCCTTGGTTAAATGTCTGGTTACTTTATGAATGTCGCAATATAGACTTTCATCACGGACCCAAGTGTTTGATCTTCCTTTCCCTTGGAATTGCTTCCCGACGGAATTGTTGAAGGGTTGAGACCCAAACTTCCTTGGTCCTTTGCTCTCTCTAGGCTCGAACTTCTTGGTAGGGACGGTGACTGCCGGTTTTTCTTGTTTATTCCGTTTGGCAAAACTTTCTTTTTCGTCTTCTACCTCCATCCAATTGTTTGCTCGGAAGAGTGCATCCTGAATTGTATCTGGTTTATGAAGTATTAAGTCTTCTTTAAACCTTGAATCATGTCGCAATCCTTTTCGTAGAGCAGATAAAGCTGATTGCTGTGAGATTCTTGGGAGTTTTGATAGCACTCCTTTGAATTTGGTGATGAAAACTCGAAGTGACTCATTAGATCCTTGCGTCAGGTTCCAAAGATCGGCATCCGAAACGCTTTTATCCATAAGGATAGAATATTGCTTTAAGAACACGGCTGACAGTTCGTCGAAATTGCTGATCGAACCCGGCTCTAATTGGGTGAACCACATTAGAGCTTGGCCACATAGATTCTCCGAAAACAGCTTGCAATAGCCTGCATCCTCATCAGCTTCATCCAACTCGACTCTTCCCGCAGCGATCAGAAAGGCTGCAAGATAGCTTTTTGGATCCTCCAATCCGCTGTAAGGGTCCAACTTGAGCTTCCGGGAATCTTTGATCCTCAAACTTGCAATTCGCGGGATAAAAGGGGTTCGCCTTGCTTCTTCAATGACTCGATTGATGTCTGGCTCCGAACTTGTAGCCTGATGAAATTTTGATTTCATTTCTTTTAATTCCTGGCTAACCTTCTTCATGGTCTCGAACTGGTCGAGGTTCTCCTGCTCGTACTGAGCTGCAAGTTGTTCTTCATCCCCGAGCTGCGTCTCTTCTTCCGACGTCTGAGCTACATTATTTGTAGCACCGGGAGTTGTTTGTCCGCTGGTTTCATTTCGTGCAGCGGAACTTGGCGAGTTGAATATCCCTCTTCGGGTTCCCACCGGGTTTCCTGCACTTAAAGAGCGAACACGAGTTTGTATATTATTGACGTTTTGGCTAAGAGATACCTGGGATGTTTGCAACGTATCGACGGCCTTCTCCACATCCGAGAACTTTTGTGATATGTCCGACATGGTTTGCTGCATAGCTTTGAGGGTTTCGGCCAATGACGTTTCAACGGCGTCTCCTCCGGACATTGTCGCTTATCTCGGAAATGTAGAAAAGAAAAAATCTGACCACTCAAGAATCCTGATATTCCCCACAGACGGCGCCAAAATGTGGATGTCGGATTCACACACTCAAGTATTTTGTTAGGTGGGAAAGATTATTCTTGAGGGACAAAAATGAATATGCAAAAACTTATAAATTGATACGAAAATTGCTATTGTATTTCTCTCTTGAGAGGAAGATACCCTTTACATGGCCATTGGCCTCTATATTTATACATAGATAAGCGACATTAAAATGGATAATTAAGCACAATTATTTCTTCTTAAATGTGTCCGTTTTGATTCTTCGGCTTTAATGCTCAACGTTTGAATTTGAGTTGACTCCGATCTTCATGGGCCTCGCCTCTTTTGGCCCAAGTGTCCTTGGACCGACTTACCCATGCCTTTTGCATCGAACTCGTGCCACAGTACAGTCACTTCGGATTCTCGAAATGGTAACAACCATTTCGAACATCCCTTCGGCTCACGGGTCCAATGGGCTTCATCCTTTATGGGCCATTACCCTGATTACGTGGCAATCTTTGGTTGGTCTCGTACTTTTGGTGCGGGATCCGACACCAACAAAAGGGTTGTGAGATATCGGACTTCAGCCAACTCACGATCTGGGCCAGCACTATGGCTTACTTTGAAATCGTGATAGGCCTTGTCATCACGTGCGGACTCTTTGGCTATAATTAGGTACAAAAGCGTACAACGCAAGAAAGACCTAATCCCGTTTTTAGGCACCTTAAGAGCTGCTTCTAGAGCAAGCAAGATCTAGAACGAGAGAGATGGTGTTTCCTCTTCTATCTAGGCTTTGCTCGTATTATTTCCCTCTTTCTTGTTTCTCTTTTTTTGGCCTGTTTAACCGAAGATAGAGAGTAAACAAACACACAATGTAATTCTTGTTAATTTCATGATGTAATCATACCGAGAACTCATCAAATTGGTTGTTTCGTTTATGTCTATGTTGACTGATCCGTTGAATTGGATCGAGTATCTTGGTGAAACGATCATAACAGGATCATGCCGATGGAAACGACAAGATTGAATAGTTCGTTTATGGGATCAAAATCTATGGAGCTTCTCTGGGTAAGGTGAAGGGATGAGACACACCAACATTGTGTTGGCCCAGTGATAAATCTCCCAGGTGGAGGTACTGGGTTCGACGCCCGTTGGGAAGGATCTCTTCTCCAAAAGAGATGAATTAACCTGGTGTGAGTCCCGTCTCTAAAAGATGTATGGTCTTTGGGCTTGAACTTCCAGATATTAAAAAAAAAAAAAAGAAGAAGGGATGAGACACAGTGATGTGGTCGGCAATGTGGTAAAAAATCTACTTTTGAGTGTATGGATGGACGAAACATACTTTTGAACACTACTTTTGAAATTTCAAGAAAATTAATTTGACTTAAAACATATTGACATTAAAGTATCTCAATTCATTAAATGGAATTAATTCTATAAAAAAACATAGAATTCCATTGTTTTGTAACGTCGTCTTTTTTTTTTTTTTACATCTTTGGATCGACAAAGCCCGATCCATAGCCAATCCCTACTACGCAGGGTAACGCGACTTACTGGAATCGAACTCCGGTGGAGAAAGCGGAGTCAAGTGGACTTAACCACTTCACTAAAGGTACATCCCCAAGTTTTGTAACGTCGTCTAAACCTTTTTATTTAAAACATTTTGTCAAAGTTTTTTTTTTTTTTTGTTAAAAGGCCTAACATTCTTTCGACAAGTTTCACTGGTTGAACTGAATTTGTTTTTTTCTTTCTTTCATTCTCAATGTAGCTACATCATAAACTACAATCAAAAATTCTTGGTCTTTGCACTATTTACGAAATTTGTCATGGTGATAAAACTTAAAGGCTGACTTTGGACCTTAATTTCTTACCGGTATATATTTTCATGGTATATCCTTTTATCTATACTAGTATAATCGCAGCACTTTTTGTGACGGTTGGGTAAAAAAGCTTTCGGGTATATCGGATATCCGACCCATTTTAAAAATTCTTTCACAAAAAATTTGTTGGGTCGGGTTATATTTAACCCAACTCATACACCGGATATTCCATATTTAATAATTTAGATTTTTAGAAGATTTGATTAAGATTTATAATTATGATTCCCCTATCATCTTTGTTTGATTTGTTTTTAACTGTTTTGAATCATCATATAATACATAAAGTAAAAAAAAAAATCAATTTTTTTTCTGCATATACTGTGATTCGAAATTTTTAAAACGGACATATATTATCCAATTGACGAAAATGTGTGTTCAACGTTCTACATCGATTAAAATATTTAGACAATGATTCAGAATCATATCATAAATAAGAACATTAATAAAATAAATGAGTTTTTTGGCGGGACGGGTTTTTGAATCAACAATAATAAAAAGATTAAAATATCATTAATCCGTCGCTTCAATACGGATTTAATCCTTATTTTTTTTAATATAAATCACAGGACGTGTTAAGAAATTACGGAACAGGTTATATTTCGGAAATGATTTATATGGCGGACGAATTTGAATCAATATTTATATACCGCCTTAATACAGGTTAAATCCTCAGTTTATTAATAATTATCTCGTGGACTCGTGGTATACCGTTACTTAATAACAATTGTAAACTATAATATAAATAAATATGTTATAAGGAGATACAATTTACAAAATATTTTTATACTAACTTTAAAATTAAACCATCCCGCGGTGTACCGCGGGTTAAAATCTAGTGTGATTTATAAGTTTCATAGATATCTAAAAATAACCATTTTATTTTGATTTTTGGACCGTGATTTCGTCAATATTAGATGGTTTTTTTTTAAAACACCTTTAGATGGTTTATTTGTATACAAAAAACATTTCACTAGCGTAATTGAATGACTTCCATATTCTCCACAACAGAAGTAAGAAAATATAGAAAAAAATCAAATAAAATCATTTTCAAGATTTTATTTTTCTATTAAATACCATAAATTGCTTTTGTAAGAGAGAAATAAAAGTAAGAATGAAGCAATTTTAACCAAAAAAAAAAATGTAAATGAAAAAGGAAGCAATTAAAGAAGGTGGCGAGCATGTAAATTGTTAAGAGAATAATGTGCATTAAGAATTTCTGAGCTGTTGCGTTACCTATATCCGCTGGATTCTCTCTCTCTCTCTCTCAGATTCTTCAAATCTTCCAGTAGAAAAAAAAAAAAAACAAAAACCCTAATTTGTTTCAGTTTCAACAGAAGAACAAAAACAACTAGAAATTTTTAGTTATTGTTCGTCCATGGCCTCTTTAGACTCAGATTCTTCTTCTTAATTTTTATTTTTTGTTTGTTTGCTTGTTTTTTTTTGGGGGAGAAGAGAACGTGGCAAAGTTAAAGGTACCATTCGAATATTCTAAATATAACACGTTCTTGCTCGTGATATTTTTTTTTGCCTACTTTAATTTATCTTTTTTCTTTTTGCCAATCACAATCTCAAATCGTATATGAGTGCTGTGTAGTTTTGATGATCGTGAATAAATTGGATTTACTTCTTTGGCGTGTTCTTGACTTAATTACTGGAGATATTTTATTGATTTGAGAATTAATAGTTAATGTTAGATTTAGGTAACGTATATGAGAGGGTTTTGAGGTTTCATACGTTAATTTTTCTGCAAAAAATCAGAGGAACAAGTCTAATCAAAATTTCAAAACTTTCAAGGACCGTATATTCTCTCTCAAGCATCGCTTTGATTCTATTTTTGAAGTAAATTTTTTGTCTCTTTCTTCTTCTTCTTGTGTTTTTTTTGTTTGGGGTATAATTAAAGATTTGTCTTCTTATTTTCCTTAGTATCATTAGTCGATTTTTCTTCTTCTTTTGAATTCCATATGATTCTATTTTCTCTCTGGGTTTATATATTTGTTTGTTCTATCATTTGTTGGGATTTTAATATATTTTTTCTCTGAATCGATTCTTGTGTTTTGGTTGATGAGCTAATTATTAAAGTAATCATTTGGAATTTGTATGTGCCTTTGCTTATCTTTTCTCTATAGTTTATCTTAAAATCAGAAATAATTGCCTTTTGATGTTCTTGTTCTGTTTTTTTTTTTTGTCTCCAGATGCAAGAATCTCTTTGAAGTGATTTGGAATCTGTCTCCCCAAAAAATTATTCTGGGAGTTTCATATTTCAGGCTGATTCATCTTATTTATATATAAACAAATTATATATAGCTAAGATGGATCAAATGTCACCTGATAACATAAATGGAGTCATTTTAGCAGTGTCTTCAAGTATTTTTATTGGTTCTAGCTTCATCATCAAGAAAAAAGGTCTCAAGAAAGCCGGTGCTAGCGGTGTCCGAGCAGGTGAAGGAGGGTATGGATATTTAAAGGAACCATGGTGGTGGGCTGGAATGATAACAAGTAAGTCTTATCAAATTCTGCAAAAATGTTTTTCAAGATTCTGTTGAATTGACTAAACGTGTGTTTTATCTCTTAATTTAGTGATTGTTGGGGAAGTAGCTAATTTTGCGGCCTATGCATTTGCACCGGCTATTCTTGTTACACCTTTGGGAGCTTTAAGTATCATATTCAGGTATTTTTATTGTTGAAAGTGGCATCAATATCATATTTAGATTATAGAATATGGTTTTCTTGAAAACAAAGATCCATGTTTTATGCAGCGCAGTGCTCGCGCATTTTATTTTGCAAGAGAAACTGCATATGTTTGGGATACTCGGTTGCATTCTTTGTGTTGTTGGGTCTACAACTATAGTCTTACACGCCCCGCATGAACAGAAAATTGAATCAGTCAAGCAAATATGGCAGCTTGCTATCGAACCAGGTATATGTTCATAATTATTACTGCAAGTTTTGGTGTGCGAAATCGATTCTAGTGAAGACTGATGTATATATGGAAGCTCTGTTTCATCAGGTTTCCTTGTGTATTCTGCTGTGATTGTGGTTGTGGTGGCTATACTGATCTTCTACTATGAACCGCGCTACGGGAAGACCCATATGATAGTATATGTCGGAATCTGTTCCTTAATGGGTTCTCTTACTGTACGTTTTTCTTGAGCTATATCTTTTTGTTAACTATGTTTCAAGGGAAATTTGCTCAGGCTTTCTTGTGTGTGTTTTAGGTTATGAGTGTCAAAGCTGTGGCGATTGCGATTAAACTGACATTTTCGGGGACGAATCAGTTCAAATACTTCAACACTTGGATTTTCATTTTAGTAGTTGCAACTTGTTGCCTTTTGCAAATCAACTACTTGAACAAGGTAAACAAAAAAAAAACTAGTAAATTTTAACCGATATCGCGATACCGCTGGCTTTTATATTCATTTTGCTGAATTTTTCTCTTTGTATCTGGCAAAAAAGGCGTTGGATACATTCAATACAGCTGTTATTTCTCCGGTTTACTACGTTATGTTCACAACTTTCACAATCATAGCTAGTATGATCATGTTCAAGGTCAATTCAAATCTCTAATACCTTTTTCTTCTTTCTCAAGTAAATAATTATTTTCTTAAGGATTCCTCTATGTGAGATCACAGGATTGGGCTTCTCAGAGTGGATTGAAGATTGCAACACAGTTGTGTGGGTTTGTGACGATTTTGTCAGGAACATTTCTGCTTCACAAGACCAAAGATATGGGAAACAGCGTAGGTGGAAGTGGTCGTGGTTCTGTCTCAATGCCTACTAGAGACACTCCTGTCTTCACTAATTCAGGATCTGGTCGGAGCTCCAGCTCTGATAAAGTAGCTTCCTGATCTAACGGCCCAAATTACTTCCTCTTAGGAACTTTTTTTTGGTTTGTTTCCCACATGAGAATGTAATTTTACGATTAAAGAGAATTAAGAAAACAAGATTTTTTTTCCTAAGTAGATGTATAATATTGATGTGCATATAAGTAACCGAAACAAATCCAGATTACAAATTCTTGAAATGAAATTTTTGTATTGGCACTGTTTCTTTTCTAACAACTGAATTTGAAAAATCTTAGTGTTATCGAATAGAACTAAATAAATCGAATTTGTTCCTACTTTACAAAAAAAAAGATAACATTCAGAAATGTTGACCAGCCATAATATTTGGAGAGGTCAAAGATCATTTGGAGAAACCATTGTCTTGACATAAACTTTGGCGTCGCGACAACCACTTAAGCTGTCTGAAACTGGGTACTGAAACCCTCCATTGGCACAGTTATAGAGAGCTAAACCGGATCTAAACTCCAATAAAACCACTAAACCGTCTGAGATCCATAGCGGTCGAACAAAGTCAGTCAAACCAGGAATGCTCAAGAGTTTAGACCAAGATTCTCCTTCTCCAAACTCCTTCATCACCCAAATATCTGCGTTAGCTCCTTTGCAATAACACACCATCGAAAGACATCCTCTCAAATCTCCAAGCGTCATTGTAAAACATCCTCTGCTACAATAAACTGGCCCAGGAAGTTGTTTGAACTCATCGCGTGACATATCATATGATATGATGGTCCATGGTGATGATGAGGAAGTGGCTGCCCAATTTAGTGTCCCGTTGATGTAGACTCCGGATCTTGATTTGTCAGCAACAACAACTCCAGATGGGAAACACGTGTTGCTACTCCATAGCTTTTGTCTCGTTGAGTAGATCTTTGCCTCTGTCTTCATTTGGTGTCTTTTTTGCAACAATGCAACCACTTTATAGTCATCTTCAGATTCATCATAACCAAACCCATACGTTACAACAAACTCATCATCGCTCGTTTCAAGATCCGAACCAGGCAATCTTTGTTGAACCTTGATGGTTGGGTTCCACAAGTAGAGGCTTTTTTCGTAATCTACGTGGAAACAAACCAATCCATGACAAGTCCCCACGACTTGATAGTAATCTCTTCCTAAAAGCTCACCATCATGTTCAAAAACGTTGACCGTTGACTCGTTGTACAGAGAATTGACACAACACGACTTGAGATGGTACCGAGAAGTTGTGATGACTCCGTAAGGACTCTTCTTGGAAGTGGTTGCCTTCAACGCCTCCAAGATCAAAGCGTGTTTCAGAGAAAACAGAGTCTCTGAGATCAAAGATCTCCATGAGCTGCAAACACATTTGAAACGCGTCAAAGACTTTACGGGTAGTCTTAAGAGAATCTCTTCCATCATTTCAAGAGGTAAATTAGGTGGTGAGAACATTTCTCTGGTGGTTTCCTCCATGAGCCAGAGCAGAGGAACCAATAGTGTTGCAGGATAATAAATAAGAAAAAACAAATCATTTCTTTAGGTATATGCATGCACAAGTGGTTGTGGAAAAAGAGGAGATGCATGTATCATGATAATGTTAAATATTAAATACTCGTGGATATTGTGTACTTTATGATAACAAATATATTTAGATATGGCGGATAATAAAATAATGTGGTAAAGATGTTGACATTTAAAAGAAGCTTGAGGACATAAGCTAAAGTGAAGGACCAAAAGAAGTTATAGGACGATAAAGTTTGCTACTTTTTTACGTCTCTTATTAATTTTTTTGGTTCTTTTCATAAGCAATAAGCAGCAAAGCTCCATCATTAAGTATGATGGACCGTGGCAGAAAAGTTCCAAAAGTATTGCAACAAATTAAAGACAACAAACCAAGACATCGTTATAAAGATAGAAACTGAAGACAAATCGTAACAAGTCTTCAAAAAACGCTTTAGGTATATGGAGTTAAGGAAGTTCTTGTTCGACATGTTACTCGCTTTTGGGAGGTTTTATTGGAATGGGTTCCTTATGGGTTTGTTACACACGTATTTTCTCGATAGCATCCATGAAGCCTCATAAGTTTCGTCGGATGATAAATCAGATCAAGAAAATTCGCTAGTTCATGACGAATTAGATGAAGTGATAAATTCTTAAGTTAATTACAAAACAAAAACACTCTTATTGCACAAAGTGTTGCAAATTGTACTTGAGCCAATGGCTTAATTATGTTGTTATATCTTATGTTTTCAATTCGGAATATTAAATTTCGTAGACGGTGTGATCCAATGGTAAACTTAGTCACGATTTAATCAAGAAACAAATGGTTAAGTTAAACAAAATAAGTGTTAGATAACAAGATAAGCTAATGGAATGAGTTAATTAAGATTAACTTCAGCTTTAGTGACATAGACTCATCATCACTATTTAGCATAGACTTACCTGGACGTGATTAATATGGTCATATGGACACATTTTTTTCTTTTCAGCAACTGATGATATTGACGCTATAGTATCCAATAAAAGTTACTTTTGCAATGAATAAATACGAGCATTTTTACCATAAGCTATTAGACTATAATTTTACATGTACTTTTGTGAAAGAAACTAGGATCGGACCCGCGATCCACCACATAAAAATATTTGCATGAAGTGTTATGACGTTAATTCTAATATTGTGCGTGTTTTTAATAGAATGAATCATGCATTGTACTTATAAATACTCATAATAGCGAATAAGATCTATTCATATATGTAATCAGAAATATAGTTTTTTTCTTGGTAATCATAAATATAGTTGTAAATCTATCTAATGTTTGTTTCCAATTTTATGACATTATAGTTTGATTGGAAAATATTTAACAAAATTTTAAATTTTTGTATGATAATAACGATTTTGGTATTCAAAAAAATTATTTCTATTTTAAATCTAATAATGTTTCTTTCTTAAACACAAAACCTTTGAATTTAAGACATATAGAACATTTATCATTAAAACTATCTTTATCCGTGATCATAGTTATTATGGTTGTAAATCTATCTTTTTCAATTTAAAACTCTTTTTTTGGGGTTTACAAAAACAAAAAAAAAAACTCATTTTTTGAATTTTTTTTGCACAGCAAATAACTATTATAAATAGAATATCTATTTTCTGCTTAATTAATAAAATGAAAATAATTATTATTAAAATTCAGAATAAGTATTTGTAAATATATTGTACACAACATTAGGTTCTTGCAATTTAAATTTTCGTTTATTCACAAATTCAACATAGAGTAGCCAACAAGAGGTTGTCTTGCAGTGAGGTTCTTCACCTTTTGCTTCACGACAACACTCTCGAGGTGAGGGAGATTTTGGTTCACCAACCTCATAACGACATATTTCTGTGCAATACTGATATGCTAAGACGCAGAGATTTTCACGCTTATGCTAATAGTCACCGTTACGAAAAGCAGATGGTTCAAGTAATAAAAAAACTAATTTGTGTCTTTTCTGAGTAACCATCATCAATTTTTTTGTCTTTTATGTAGTATGCCAATGGAGAGGAGGCCGTTGAATATCGGAATTCTGTAGCTGTTAATCCTAATGGTGATCCACTCCTCGCCATTGCAACTAGGCGTTACCGCATCAACGACGTGGACATGTTTCTCATCCACTATCCGGAAGTGAATGCCTTCTAACGGATGATTATCAAAAAGCCATTGTAACCGATTTAGATCAAAACTCCTTTTTACTTTCATAAGTTGATTAAGCGGTGGAGGAAGACGGTGGAATTTTTGGGTATAATTTTGCCCTTCTAGCCTTCTTTTTCGTATTTCACCAATTATTACAAACCGGACCCAAACATATATTTAAGCACATAAAACATTGCCGCTTTGTTCATATTCTGGCCGTATGATCCAAAACATTGCCGTTTTGTTCATATATAAGAAACATTTATGATCCAAAACACTAATTTTTTGAAAATTATTTATGATGCCAAAACCATTTATAAGATGTTAGGAAAGGCTTTTCGGCTCAAAAATAGTTAGACAATGAAACAGACACAACAAGTCTGTCTTAATTACCTTAAGTGCATGTTTCCGACGACTAGAGAGATGCCTGGTGAAACTGGACAAGATACCACCACCACCACGTCTTGGAAGTATTACATGTTTTCTACCTCTTCGACCACCACCACGACCACCAGCTCTTCCACCACCACGACCGCCTGTCGCACCTCCACCACTGCCGCCGCCTGGCGCTCCTCCATCACCACCGCCGCCTGGCGCTCCTCCATCACCACCGCCGCCTGGCGCTCCTCCTCCACCACCACCGCCGCCTGGCGCTCCTCCACAACCACCGTCGCCTAGCGCTCCTCCACCACCACATTCGCGTGGCGCTCCTCCACCACCGCTTGGCTGTGCATTGGTAAAATCCCATCGCATGGCATCCCAATTACACTTGCATCTTCTCTACTAACGATTTTGGTATTCAAAAAAATTATTTCTATTTTAAATCTAATAATGTTTCTTTCTTAAACCATTTATCATTAAAACTATATATCCTTATCCATGATCATAGTTATTGCAATTGTGGTTGTAAATCTATCTTTTTCAATTTAAAACTCTTTTTTTGGGGTTTACAAAAACAAAAAAAAAAACTCATTTTTTGAATTTTTTTTGCACAGCAAATAACTATTATAAATAGAATATCTATTTTCTGCTTAATTAATAAAATGAAAATAATTATTATTAAAATTCAGAATAAGTATTTGTAAATATATTGTACACAACATTAGGTTCTTGCAATTTAAATTTTCGTTTATTCACAAATTCAACATAGAGTAGCCAACAAGAGGTTGTCTTGCAGTGAGGTTCTTCACCTTTTGCTTCACGACAACACTCTCGAGGTGAGGGAGATTCTGGTTCACCAACCTCATAACGACATATTTCTGTGCAATACTGATATGCTAAGACGCAGAGATTTTCACGCTTATGCTAATAGTCACCGCTACGAAACGCAGATCGTTCAAGTAATAAAAAAAAAACTAATTTGTGTGTTTTCTGAGTAACCATCATCAATTTTTTTGTCTTTTATGTAGTATGCCAATGGAGAGGAGACCGTCGAATATTGGAATTCTGTATCTGTTAATCCTAATGGTGATCCACTCCTCACCATTGCAACTAGGCGTTACCGCATCAACGACGTGGACATGTTTCTCATCCACTATCCGGAAGTGAATGCCCAAGTAGCACATATCCCGGAACAACATCCAAGGATTCCTTTGCTTCCAATGGTTCCGATGGGTCCTCCCCTGCAGGTAGTTTTGCTACATTTATGGTTTTCTTCATTAGTAACGATGTTCTTCTTTTAATGTCTCTGTTTTTTATGGTTTGCTAATGTAGCATAGTATAGGAAGATGGTCGAGAAAAGCTCTGCAAGCCTTCTAACGGATGATTATCAAAAAGCCTTTGTAACCGATTTAGATCAAAACTCCTATTTACTTTCATAAGTTGATTAAGCGGTGGAGGAAGACGGTAGAATTTTTGGGTATAATTTTGCCCTTCTTGCCTTCTTTTTCGTATTTCACCAATTATCACAAACCGGACCCAAACATATATATAAGCACATAAAACGTTACCGCTTTGTTCATCTCTGGCCGTATGATCCAAAACATTGCCGTTTTGTTCATATATAAGAAACATTTATGATCCAAAACACTATTATTTTGAAAATTGTTTATGATGCCAAAACCATTTATAAGTGAAAATACATAAAGAATAGTTTTTAAGAAAAAGATGCGTTCGTTCAAATTTATTTTTAAGAAAGAGATAACATTAAACCTATATTTTTATAAAAATTCCATAAATCTATATATACATTTTTGGATGACTTTTAGCAAATAAATCCTAGGGTTGGGCAGTATTTACAAAGAATGCCATTGGCATTTATTATTAATTTTACAAAATTTAAATAAAAGATATTAACCAAACAATATCTTGCCTAATTTGTTTCTAAAAATATTTACACAATCTTTCTATATATCTTCAAAAAAATTTATAGCAAATATTTATATTAACATTTTGCATAGCAATAAAAATACTATTTTATAATAATCAAAATATTCACATAGAAAAATCAAATACACATACAGGAAAAGAACTATATCTATCATCATTTAAGCCGTTGTTTTATTTAAATAAAAAAAAACACAAAAAACTTGAAATCATATACTTTATATGATAAATTTAAAATATATATTAGTAGTATAAATTTAAAATCGTTCAAATAACGGTATACTACGGGTGAGATCCTAAAATTATTAGATTTTATAACAATAATAATTTATTTTCTTGGATTTTATAATACTAATAATTTAGCTAACGAGATAATATAGACGGGTTTATATGGGATGACGGGTTTGGGTCGATATTAATAAATAACGGTATATCACGGATGAAATCCTAAAATTAACAATCAAAATACAATTATACAATCTTAAACACAAAACAAAAGAAATAATATTAACAAAACAAATCCAACTTAAATTTAAAATTTTCAGTTATAAAAAACCCGACCCACGGTATACTGCAGAGTAAAATATTCAAAATTTTAAAATCCACCATACATCGTTACTTAAAAAAAAATGTATGTTTTCCTATTTATACTTCAAAAAATTGATAAATCTATATATACATTTTTGGATGACTTTTAGCAAATAAATCCTGGAGTTGGAATGTATTTACAAAGAATGCCATTGGCATTTATTATTTACTTTTACAAAATTTAAATAAAAGATATGAACCAAACAATATCTTGCCTAATTTGTTTTTAAAAATCTCTACACAATCTTTCCATATATCTTCAAAAAACTTTTATAGCAAATATTTATATTAACATTTTGCATAGTAATAAAAATACTAATTTATAATAATCAAAATATTCACATAGAAAAATTATATACACATACAAGAAAAAAACTATATATGTCATCATTTAAGCCGTTGCTTTATTTAAATAAATTAAAAACACAAAAACCTGAAATCATATATTTTATATGATAAATTTAATATATATATTAGTAATATAAATTTAAAATCATTCAAAGAACGGTATACCACGGGTGAGATCCTAAAATTATTGGATTTTATTACAATAATAATTTATTTTCTTGGATTTTATAACACTAATAATTTAGCTAATGGGATAATATAGACGGGTTTATATGGAATGACGGGTTTGGGTCGATATTAATAACGGTATATTAAGGATGAAATCCTAAAATTAACAATCAAAATACAATTATACAATCGTAAACACAAAACAAAAGAAACAATATTAACAAAACAAATACAACTTAAAATTTTTAGTTATTAAAAAACCGACCCACGGTATACTTCGGAGTCAAATATTCAAAATTTTAAAATCCACCATACATCGTTACTTAAAAAAAATGTATGTTTTCGTATCTATACTTTAAAAATTGAAACCTAAACAATAGTAATCATACACTAGATAATAATACATAGATAGATATCTATATTTAAAAATACAAATTAATATGATATATCTTCAGTTAAACTTTAGAAAATAACATTATATTTTTTTAAAAAATATAGCCACGCGGTGTACCGCGGGTTAAATTCTAGTCTTTTGTAAAATCAATAAATCTATTAAAAAATATAACTGCATACCTTCCAGGCCTGTGATGATCGCCGACTGCGATCAGATCTCATAGGGGCTTAGAGTCTTTTATCCTATAAATTCAGGTTTGGTCCGGTATGTTTTTGTTCTTCGTTTGGTGTTTCCATCGTGTTTAGATTAGCTACATTTGAATAATGATGCGTCGTCTATCTTTTCGCAACAACGCAATACACCTAAAATGCCTTAGAAACTCATTTCACAAACTATCTTTGATCAAAGAAAAAAAAAGATCTTAGTAAAGTGTAACACAAAAAGTTCTTGACATTGCAATTATTCGAAATCTAATCAATTGTAATGTTCTTAACCCTCCTTAGTTATAAAGAGCAACAAAATAGTTTACCGGTCTATATGGCAGCTACATATATAAATGAGTTTCTCTCGTGGACCAGACATCACTTTCACCGATCTTGCAGCAACCTTAGCCTTCGTTTTTCACTTTCACCGCTACTTCCATTTCCTTATCCATGTTTCTATGTTTCCACTATCAAGCTGTTGCTTTTGCACATTGGATTGCATCTACATTTACATATATTCTGCATATTGGAGCAAATTAATGCAAAAAAAAAAAAAAATTAATGCAAACACCTTTGTAATTAACAAGCAAACACATAATTACGAAATTGGTAATAACGTTGACAAATATAACTACTCTGATTAAATTTCATTTAGTCAATATGTGAATAGTGCAATGTGAGAATATGAATTTATATTTAACACCGGATTAAATTTGATTTAGTCATCTAACATCATACATTGAATCCAGGATCTAGGTAAATTAATAATTTGAGAATTTTAGATATTCACCAATATATCACGTCTAATTATGTATATATATTCAATAAGTATTTTACAATTTTTACGTTGGAAATGAAATATATATCTTTATTTTATTTAGCAAGTAAGATCAAGATCATAACTGATTGTTAATTTACAAAACAAAAATCACAGCTGAATGTAATTAAACCTAAATTAGAAGATGAATTTCTATAAATTCATTTTATTCACAAACGCAGTCGCATCTCTCCCTAATATCTCTGGAGATGGAAATGAGTTTTACAATTCATGTTCCGGCTGGTTGTCAGTTTACAATTAACGTTAAACCAGTTGTCGGACTCGTACCACCGGCTGGTGGAGGTGGTGGCGGATTAAACGTTAATGTTCATCCTCCGGCTGGTGGCGTTGAACAAGTTAAGGATGAACCCCTCATAGTAGAAACCTCTAACCTTACTGATCCATCTTTGAAAATGGCTAACCCTAAAGTTTTCTTTGATATGTCCGTTGGTGGCAAACCGGCTGGTCGGATCGTGATAGAGCTCTTTGCCCACACGACCCCACGGACGGCGGAGAACTTCCGAGCCCTCTGTACTGGCGAGAAAGGCATGGGGAAGCTTGGTAAGCCACTCCACTACAAGGGATCAATCATCCACCGTCTGGTTCCCGATCAAATGTTATGTGGAGGAGATATCACTGCTGGTGACGGATCCGGAGGGGAATCAATCTATGGGGACAGATTTTTCGAGGATGAGAACTTCATCAATAAGCAAACAGGTCCAGGTATCCTCGCCATGGCTAACCGTGGTATTGACACCAACGAATCTCAGTTCATGATTTGCATGGAGGGGAGCCCTATTATCGATACTGAGCATGTTGTGTTCGCCCATGTTGTTGAAGGATTGGATGTGATCAGGAGTATTGACAAAGAGGTCGGAACTGGTAACTGCGTACCTTCCAAGCCCGTGATCATCGCCGACTGCGGACAGATCTCATAAGTCTTTGAGTTTTTTATCCTACAAATTCATGTTTGGTTCGGTATGTTTTTGTTCTTCGTTTTGATTTGAGTTTGGTGTTTCCATCTGAGTTTAGATTAGCTACATTTGAATAATGATGCGTCTGTCTATCTTTTCGCTACAACAAAACACACCTAAAATGCCTTAGAAACTCATTTCACAAACTATATTTGATCAAAGAAAAAAATAAAGATCCTAGTAAAAAGTTTAACACAAAAAGTTCTTGACATTGTAATGTTCTATAACCCTCCTTAGTTATAAAGAGGAACAAAACCGTTTACCCGTCTATATGGCAGCGACATTAATAAGTTTCTCTCGTGGACTGGCCCGCTCTTGCAGCAACCTTCGCCTTCGTTTTTCACTTTCACTCCATTTCCATCTCCATGTTTCTATGTTTCCATTATCAAGCTGTTGCTTTTGCATATTGGATTGCATCCACATTTACATATATTCTGCAAGATGGAGCAAATTAATGCAAACACCTTTATAATTAACAAGTAAACATATGGTCGTCATTTTAAAAATCCTGGCTAGTTATTTAACCTGTACTTGTGTAACTACATTTATCTCAAAGCCTCCAACATACTTTTGTTTTTACCGGTTTAGTTGTTCTTCTCAATTTTTAGTTCTATTAGTCGTAGACCTTGTACTGTAGCGAGATTAATTATCGGTGTCACTAGCCAAGAAGATCCAATAAGCATTTATAGTGCCGCCGAACCCGCGAATCACATAGTCAAATTAAAGAACAAAAAGCCTCTTATATTAACAATGGGGTAAGAACTGGTCCACATTTGCTAATCCTTTAACAAGGTAAATGCAAAATAGAGAGGATGCTAAAATGTCTAGTCTACTTGTAGAGTCTTTCTATTTCACTCTCGTATTGATCAGGGTTACTTTAGTATCAAATAATTACATACTATATAAAAAGTTATTTTTGCATGAATTAATACGAGCATTTGACCAAATAATCTGATATATAACATCTGTGATCAAAGATACTATAAAACCAAAAATTGTCCCGTGGTATAATGTTACTTAATAACAATTGTAAACTATAAAATATAAATATCTTAAAAAATTATAAATTTTGCAAACTTTTATATATAATAAATAATCGTTAAATTTTAAAAATTACTACTTTTAGAAACAAATCACGGGACGGGTTAAGAAGTTACATGACGAGTTATATTTCGGAACTAAGTTATATGGTGGACGAGTTTGAATCAATATTTATAAAATTTTAAAATATCATTAACATGCCGCTTTAATACAGATTAAATCTTCAGTTTATTAAAATATAAATGTCTTAGAGAATGATATGATTTGTAAGCTTTTATATATAATAAATAATCATTAAATTTTAAAATAAAAATAAATTACGGGACGGGTTAAGAAATTACGGAACGAGTTATATTTTAGAACGGGTTTATATGGCGGACAAATTTGAATCAATATTTATAAATATCATTAACATGCCGCTTTAATACGGGTTAAATCCTCAGTTTATTAACAATTATCTCGTGGACTCGTGGTATACCGTTACTTAATAACAATTGTAAACTATAATATAAATAAATATTTTATAAGGACATACAATTTACAAAATATTCTTATACTAACTTTAAAAATAAATCATCTCGCGGTGTACCGCGGGTTAAAATCTAGTTTATATGTAAGTTTGTAAAAGAAATATAGAAATAATCAAACAACCTAAAAGAAATAAGCTAAATTCGAAAATAACGTTTGAAAATACAGTATGTAGCAATTTTTTATATTATTACATTTCATATATATTATGTATTTGATTTACTGTGGATAATAAGATTTTTAAAGAACATATTAGAGCTTAGGTTAATTTGCAGCCGTCAGATTTGACAGACTAAAAGATCTTAACGAAAATTGGCACTTAAATGCTTTGGGTTTTTTCAAAAAAGAAAAAAAAGGCTTTGGGTTAATCAGAGCCGTCAGATCCTCCCCATACGATCATGAAAATGATCGTATGGTTAATCAGAGCCGTCAGTTCCTTGTAAGAATTTAGCTTAATCACAGCCGTCAGATCCTTCCCAGTGAGGTTATCACAACCGTCAGATTCCTTATAAACAGTTAGGTTAATCACAGCCGTCAGATCCTCCCCATAAGATCATGAAAATTCTGATCGTATGGTTAATCACAGCCGTTAGATTCCTTATAAGAATTTAGGTTAATAACAGCCGTCAGATCTTCCCTCTACGATCACGAAAATATCTTCTCCCGCTCCTATCCCAAATTCAAATTTCGAATTTGGATTCGGTCAAACAGTCAAGACCCAACCGTTGTATATCTCTCTCTCTTCAATTCAATATATCTCACTCAAATTCCTAATAATTTCAAAAAGCAAACGATACTCTCCTCTGTACGCTCTTCTTCTTCTTCTTCTCTCTGTACTTTCGCGAAAACCCTAATTTCTAGATCTGTTTCTCTCTAATCGCCTCTCTCCGTTTCTAGATCCTTCAGATCTACTCTCCAGTTTCTCTCTCGGAAACACCCAACCATGGCTACCAAACTCCCTCTTCAAAACAGCAACAACGCCAATGTTGCGAAAGCTCCGCGAGGCGCCGCCGCCGGGAAGACGATCGAGGAAATGTATCAGAAGAAATCGCAGCTTGAGCACATTCTGCTCCGTCCTGATACATACATCGGATCGATTGAGAAACACACCCAGACGCTTTGGGTTTATGAGAAAGATGAGATGGTGAATCGTTCTGTTACCTATGTACCTGGATTGTATAAGATCTTTGATGAGATTCTTGTGAACGCTGCTGATAACAAACAGAGAGATCCGTCGATGGATTCTGTTCAAGTTGTGATTGATGTTGAGCAGAATCTGATTAGTGTTTGTAACAGTGGAGCTGGAGTTCCTGTAGAGATACATCAGGAAGAAGGTATTTATGTACCGGAGATGATATTTGGTCATTTGTTGACGAGTAGTAACTACGATGATAATGTGAAGAAGACCACTGGTGGAAGAAACGGATATGGTGCTAAGCTTACTAATATTTTTTCTACTGAATTCATCATTGAGACTGCAGATGGGAAGAGACTCAAGAAGTATAAGCAGGTATTGAATCGTTTATTGCTTCTGTGATGTTGTTCTTGTTGCATTTGTGGCCTAAATGATTCGTTGAGTTTTATGATCTGATTTCGATTGATACAGTAGTTTTATGATTCTGTGTTGTTGTTGTTTCAATTGTTGTATAATTGATTCGTTTAGGAACTGAACTTTTACTGGTGATGATTTAGGTCTTTGAGAACAATATGGGGAAGAAGTCGGAACCAGTTATAACAAAGTGCAATAAGAGTGAAAACTGGACAAAGGTTACATTCAAACCAGATTTGAACAAGTTTAGCATGACTGAATTAGAAGACGATGTGGTTGCTCTAATGAGTAAGCGAGTGTTTGATATTGCTGGATGTTTGGGGAAGTCTGTCAAAGTTGAGCTGAATGGGAAACAAATACCAGTGAAGTCATTTACTGATTATGTTGATCTATACCTAAAAGCAGCTAATAAGTTAAGGGCGGATCCCGATCCTCTCCCAAGGTTTGTTCTATGATTTGTTATTGCTCAGTTATAACAATTGTGTTTCTTGGAATGGATTTTGATCTTTTTGAGTTTTCTGTGATTAGGATAACTGAGAAAGTTAATGACAGATGGGAGGTTTGTGTGAGCTTAAGTGAAGGACAGTTTCAGCAGGTATGTACTTGGTTGGCTGTTATTACTTTTTTTTTTTTCTCGCATGAAGAATTGAGTAAAGTCTTAACAACGTTTTTTGCTGCTACCAGGTCAGCTTTGTCAACTCCATAGCAACAATCAAGGGTGGTACACATGTTGATTATGTGACGAGTCAGATCACAAACTATATTGTGGGTGTTGTGAACAAAAAGAATAAAAACGCTAATGTTAAGGCCCATAATGTGAAGAACCATCTGTGGGTCTTTGTTAATGCATTGATTGACAATCCTGCTTTTGATTCTCAAACAAAAGAAACACTGACTCTTCGACAGAGCAGTTTCGGGTCGAAATGTGAACTTTCAGAAGATTTTCTGAAGAAAGGTATGGTGTGCTCGATCTGTCTTTTTGGATAAGTGATGTAACTGGTTTCTAGAAGTGTTATTAATCCCTTTTTCTTATATAATGTTTGTTTTAGTTGGAAAATCTGGCGTAGTGGAGAATTTGCTTTCATGGGCAGATTTCAAGAAGAGCAAAGATCTAAAGAAAAGTGATGGAGCCAAAACAGGGAGGGTTGAAGTTGAGAAGTTAGAGGATGCCGCCGAAGCTGGAGGGAAGAACTCTCGACTCTGTACGTTGATTTTGACTGAAGGAGACTCAGCCAAACCTCTAGCTGTAAGTGGTTTTGATCTATAGTTTCTGCTACCTCTCTATTTTCATCATAAAACTCCTAATACTCATTATGGTCAGCTGGCGGGGAGGACTGTCTTGGGTGAGAACTATTACGGTGTGTTTCCGCTTCGAGGAAAGCTATTGAATGTCAGGGAAGCCAGCACCACTCAGATTACAAACAATAAGGAAATTGAGAACATCAAGAAGATCCTTGGACTAAAGCAAAATATGAAGTACGACAATGTTAGCTCATTAAGATATGGCCATATGATGATCATGACTGATCAAGTATGTTAAAAGTCTACTCTTTAACTTTACACTCAGTGAATTATTCTATATGTATATGTTCTTGACGAAATCTCTCTCTCTACCTTGTGCAGGATCATGATGGTTCCCATATAAAGGGGCTCTTAATCAATTTTATCCACTCTTTCTGGCCGTCGTTACTCAAGGTTCCATCATTCCTGGTTGAGTTTATAACACCCATTGTGAAGGTAAGTAGAAAAACTTCATTCTTTCATAATATCTTATAATGCTTGACATGGTAGATAAAATAATGCTAACAACTGCCCTGAATGTATTTTACTCAGGCTAAGAATAAGGCTAAAAAAAAAGTTCTGTCATTTTACTCAATGCCTGAGTACGAAGACTGGAAAGAAAGTATGAAGGGTAATGCAACCGGATGGGAAATCAAATACTACAAGGTTTGCGCTCTGCTATAACTAATTAGGAAGAACTTCTTGAAAGTGCTCATGTTCTCTGCAAGTCTGCATACTAATTGTCCTTATATTTTTCCAGGGGTTGGGTACAAGTACAACTGAGGAGGCCAAAGAGTACTTTAAAAATCTTGGTCTTCACAAAAAGGATTTTGTTTGGGAGGATGAACAAGATGGAGAAGCCATTGAACTTGCTTTCAGTAAAAAGAAGATCGAAGCCCGAAAAAATTGGCTTTCGAACTATGTGGTATGGAGGATTGAGTTATCTTTAAAAACATTTGTTCTTTGCTTATTACACCTGCCTGTTCTGATTTCCCATTTTCAA